GATTGGTTAATTAAACTTGCTAAGGGTTATGAGTACGATCCCTGTGTGGTCCACATTCATACTGGCAGTTAGCTGACATATGGGTGCTATGGGAAAAGTGGGTGAGCGTGCATGCTTAGTGAAAACTGATCACTTGGAGAATGAGCTGAAAATACATGTCCTGTCAGGGCTGAGCTAATTGTGTCATCCAAGTGAATGAGGGCTGGGGTGTTAAATTCATAAATTCATTCTTCACACAATATGCATTGCACTCAAACAGCACAGCACTCTTTCTGTTGGTGTGAGACATGCCCAGACAATGAGGCTTCTATAATTTCCTTTGAAAAAACTGGTGAAACAGTATTATCAGGGTTTTTTTTTTAACAGCTTTTTAAAAGATACAATTTACATACTATAAACCTCACCTCTTTCGTCTCATCAGCCTAATAAGCTCTTCTTTTTTCTTTTCAGACATGTTATAATTGATTTGTAAATTTAGTGGCCACTATTTGAATTAATATCCAGTAGAGAAATAGGTCACAGCCTGCGTATTATTTTTGGCAGGCATAAGCTAATTCTGCCTGATGTTAGAGGGAAAGTACAGAATTTTATTGGTCTGTGAAAGCTAATATATTACAATTGAATGGGTACTGTAATTGTAGGAGTTAATTGAATTTTGGCCTGATAATTTAGATTTGGGGATTTTTCAGGTTAGAACTTCTTACTTGAGATCAAATCACGTGGAGGGATTCAAATTCCAGATTTTCTTTCTTTTGCAGGGTGTGAGGAGTGTAACAATGCACACTCTTCAGTGTGCCCAAAGCATGGCCCCTTACACCCCATCCCCAACCGTCCCGTGCTCACCAGAGCAAGAGCCAGCCTCCCCCTGGTCCTGTACATCGACCGGTTCCTTGGAGGTGTGTTCTCCAAAAGGCGCATTCCCAAGCGCACCCAGTTCGGCCCCGTGGAGGGNAACCAATTACTAAAAGGGGATAAATTATTTCTGTAAATACTGGAAGCAGGAAAAAATGAGAAAGAATTATTTTTTTGTCTTCCTATAGATGTTTCTTTAGTGAGATTCATTTAAGCCCAAAGGAACTCTGCTTTAAATCTTAAAAAAAAAAAAGGGTTCCATGTAATCAGGGCTTTTGACTAAGCAAAGACTTTTTCTTCCTCCTCTTCAACTCACATTGGAGGTTAAGAATTGTAGGCTTCCTGGCTACTTGTTTCGTTTCTTTGTGACAGAGCTAGTGTGTATTATTGAGCCTAATTATCAATCACATCTGATTGGATTACACAACCCGGTTAAGTGAAAGTCCTTGGGAATGCCTTTGGCGCCCTCTAATGTTGGTAAGCTGCCTCTTGTTATTATTTTTGCTGTCTGAGTACCCTGACTTTTTCTGTGTCTTCACTGCCAGGTGAAAAAACACGTGCGAAGCTTTCACTCAGAAAAGATCTACCAGTGTACAGAGTGTGACAAGGCCTTTTGCCGTCCTGACAAACTGCGACTCCACATGCTACGGCATTCAGACCGCAAAGATTTCCTGTGCTCTACATGTGGGAAGCAGTTTAAGGTGTGTAAGCAGTGAGCAGCCTGAGGTTGCTTTCATGGCCACCGAAATCATATCGTGCTAAGGGTCAATGGTTGTTTGTTTGTTTCATCAGCTTATCTCCTACTTATAAAGAACTGGACTGGAGATAACTTTTGTGCCTCATGTTTGAGTTAGTTATGTGATAAAATTAAGGAAAAAACTCACCTTAGTTTCCCCAAATAATTAATTCAGATCTCAAACTAATAGAGTAACAATGCATCTCCTAAAAGAATCCAAATGCGTGATGAGTAAAACTAAATTGCTGTTGAGTAATTCTTAAGAGCACAATACATTTACTTATCAAATCAAGAGATTTTTACTGAGCACTTATTAAATATAATAGCCTTATAATTGAGCCCTGAAGGCAGCAGGGCTGTCATCTAATGGAGATGGGAAATCTGTAGGATGTTGAGAGGTCTTAGACTACTTTGGGGTATGTTAATAACTTCAATAATTAAAATAAAAAATAATAAGTATTAGTAACCTGTCTGGAATTTAGAAGCGAAGGAAAAACCCATGGGAGACTCAGAGATAAAATTAAGCAAATAAATGTGAAAACAATTAAAAAAATGTTTCATTAGGAAATCAGATGATAATGTAAAGATATCATTGAGAGACATTCTTCTGAATATGATTGTAGGTCATGCTGTCATAGAAACTAGAAAAGAATCACAAATGGATTCAGGAAGGGAATAGTGCTTTTATAAAAATGTACATATATAGAATATAGAGACATTAAAAAGAAGCAGAAATAATTTTCAAAGCTTAAGTTTTGTGTCATGTATGTTATGGAATATAATACCGGTGGCTTTCAATATATAGTAGCCTGATTTAGAACTCCTTAGAGAATTCTAATGTGAAAAGTATAAATGGCTCTAGGTTTTTCTATTTCTTAATTTAAAAAAAAATTTAATCTAAAAGGATCCCTGTCGTGATGCTAACTGGCTGGCCATTTATCCAGCCCATTCAACATTTTTTGATTCTCTATTTTGTGGCACATATCACTTTAACACCTAGGCATATATTAAAAAAAAAACCACCCTTTTTGCTTCTATTTTACTTTCACCCAATATATTAGATAGGCTTCAATTAGAGAAGCCAACCGACTAGGAGTATTACAGAATAAAGGAGTTTCTTATAGAAAGAAGAACTTAATTATAGGAGAAGATGGAGTAGTAAGGGCCAGAAATGAGAAGCTGGAGGATCAGAGAAAGGTCACTAATCCCCGCTTCTAAAGCCGTGGCCTGGGTGGACAAAATGGGCACTTACCTGGGAGCCTGGGAATGCAGGCATCCGCACCCGTAGGGTGGGCCCAAGGAGGAGAGCTGGTGCTGTCTGTGGACAACTGTGTTGCTGCATGTGGTGGTGGACATGGACGTGGTCAGCAGGGCTGACAGTTGGGAAGAGAGCTGGCGGCTGTGTGGGAAAGAGGAGGGATGGGCAGGGGTGCACCTGACCTGCTGGGCATCACTGCTGCTGCTTCATTTCCACCTTCTAGTCTGCACCAAAAGATGGGTAGAACTGGTCTGGGAGAAAGGTTCAAAATCTTTAAAAGACCAGTAGCAGTTTAAGCATATGTCCAAGAGCAGAGCCTCGCTAGATAAGGGAGCTGGCTTTTTTTTTTAATTTATTTTATTCAAGATGGGCTGTACCTAATTTTCTCTCTGTGGACTCGCATCAACATATGTCACTAGATTAGATCATCAAACTGGACCTAGACCATATGCTCCATCCATAGCAGACAGTGTAATTGTTTACTTGAACTCCTAAATCTATAAAATTAGACATTCCTACATAAATTTGTTTGGTATTTAGAAGAATATCATTATGTTTATTAAAATGTGTGGGGATTGAGTATACACATGGTTTTGTAAATCTAGTATTACCTATCATTCATTATCAATTTGTAGCTCTTGATACCAAACTAAGTCCATGTGCCCTTTGATCTCTTCTACATCAATACAAAGTCTTTCTTCTCAGAAATCAGTATCTTTCAAATTGAACGGTCATTTTCAACCAAGGCTTAGTGGAATGCACTTATTTATTAGTGAACAGTCATTCCTAGTCACTTGCCGTGTCCTCATGGTATGTTCTAGCTCTCGAGCAATTTGGATGCATTTCGACAGGTTGTGGTTACTGCTAACTTGTATGGATTTTTTTTTTATATCTCTTCAATTAAAAAATTTCTATCCCCACTTCTCACCTCCCTGCCTTTTCAAAAACTCTCTCTAATAGCGAAAAGACAAACTACGGGAACATATGCAAAGGATGCATAATCCTGAGCGGGAAGCCAAGAAAGCCGACCGCATCAGCCGCTCCAAGACATTCAAGCCTCGTATCACGTCCACCGACTATGACAGCTTCACGTTCAAGTGCCGCCTGTGTATGATGGGCTTCCGGAGACGAGGCATGCTGGTCAGTGCCAAGGCTCCAGATTCTACCCGTTGTCTTGCAGACCTATCCATTTCTATTGATGGCGATGACTTTTGTACTGTATTTTATACAGATTTGTCAGTGGCTAGGGGGAAGAAACAGAGGCAAGCAATTCCCAATTTGGAGTTCTCTGTTTTCCAGTCTCCCTTCGCCCTCCTTTGCTGAAGTTCATTTCTGGTGTCCTCTTGGAAGAGGTCTTTTTCTATCACTTTTCATTACTAGTTTTATTTTGCTTTACGCTTCTCAGTCTCTGCTCCTACTGTATTTTACGTCCCTCTTCTCCTTTTTTTTCCTGAATATAGTTTCTCTTGGGGTCTTTACCTTCTCCCCTGTTGTTCCCTTGAATGCCTCTCTTCTCCAGATATGAAACAGCAGTAGAAGGAAACGTTCCGTTAGAGGAGGGTATGTGAACCAGGTTAGTGAAACATCAGGGTAGCCAGTTCACTGCTCTCAATTCCTTTTGTCCTATTATAGTTTTTGGAGAATACAGCAGGTCCTGAAATCCTTTCGTTCAGTGTGGTTTCATTATAGCATTGATGAGATGCATAGGGACTTAACTTTTGTTTATATCAATTAGCCTATGGTAAAATTGGTTTTGTTCTATGTTTTTTCACTTAAAGTCGCAGAACCTATCGAGGAATTACTGTATATTTCTGCCAGAAGCTAAAGTCATAGAGCATTATTTAAAATTCAGAACCTTAATTTTTATCTCATTCAGTGTCCTGTCTAAGAAGGCTAAGACACTAAATAATGAAAGACAGGTTTGCATCAGGAGAATTCACCAAAGAAATTCATGCTACTGTAATTTTCCTTTTTCTAACTGCAGTTCTTTTGTCAAAGACTATTAAAGGGATCTACCGTGACCCAATTCATCTTCAGTAATTTGCTGAATTATTGTTCATTCCTTTTAACAGTGACTGTTAATATTTTGGTGTCAGATGGGCCTGGTGATGCTGATTCTGGCCAAATGCCTTATTGTTTTGGGCCACTGCTTCAGAGAATTTCCACTCCTAGCAGTCAATATCAGTGACATTTGTTTAGCTCCTGTTTGTAATGGAGTCTCTTTTTCTCATTTTCTCTTTTTCCTTTTAGGTAAATCACTTATCAAAGAGGCACCCAGACATGAAGATAGAAGAGGTGCCAGAGTTAACTCTACCCATCATAAAACCCAACCGTGATTACTTTTGTCAGTATTGTGATAAGGTAAAAAAAAACTATGCACAGCAAGATGCCTCTGTGGGAATCCTGCTTAGAGCCAATTTGTCTGCATGTGTGAATATATACTAGGATCTTGCAGTTACTCTTAACAGATGGTTTCCTGTCTCTCAGTAGTTTTCCATTTAGACAAGAAAGGGCTAGAAGTACAGCCTCATTTTAAGCCAAATTTTTTTTCTTTAGAATTAGTTGACTTTATTTTACTTGTTCCTTCTCTCTGTGATTTTTGTTACAAAAGAACAGTTTTATTACCAGGAGCTTAGTATATGAATTCATTTAAAATTTCTAAGCTCTAAAATGAGTGTTCGTCATTCTGCTTGTAAAATATATGGTAGATTTTGAATTTCTAGAAGATTAAGTAGGATGTGGAAAAGTTTTGTGGTGTACTCTATTTTTACTCTTCTATTCTTTATTTTTGTACAGTTACAAAAAAGACAGAAAGAATACACATTTATTGTTTCATTATAATATTGTTTTCTTCTATAATGTAGTTATGTCAACTTCAATTGCGAAACATTTTTAAAGCATAGATTCACCATTATACTTACTAGTTGTTTATTAGACTTGCCATATTGGAAGATTCTTTGGCATCAAGCAGTCAACTATATGAAAGCTTTCACAGAAAGGCTAAGGATGACCTGCACTTAGAAACAGTGTTCTCTTCCTATGACTGTATATCCACCCCTTAAACTTTAGGGTAAAGGTTAGTTTTATGATTATTATCTTAGATCTATAAATTCAAGGAAGATGCCTGGCATATCTAGATGATGTTCTTATTTTATTCTAATTTATGTTATATCCTATATGTTATTATCCTTCAATACCAGGGGTGCCAAAAAATGTGTACAAGTTTGGTCAGCATTGCTCAAGCAGTAGTACACCATAATCAAAAGTGTCTGTACGCTGATGGTAACCACTTTGAGCACCTCTTGTAATTGCAGAAGTCAAATGTGACTTTTATTCATTTTTTTGTTACTGGTATATATTGAGTATTACAATTTTAATACAGTTTTCCTCTCTTAAAATGTGTATACATTTTTTTGGCACCCTCTGTATATCTGTTAACATATTTTATTTTGGGATACACAAATACTTTTTCTCATGTCCTTGTAAAGAAATTGTTAGATGGTTTACTTTAAGCAGGAAAGTGGAACTATGTACTGCTTTCATGACAAAGCGTTTGAATTTGCAGGTTTATAAAAGTGCCAGCAAGCGGAAAGCCCACATTCTGAAGAACCATCCTGGGGCTGAGCTCCCACCAAGCATTCGGAAACTCCGTCCTGCTGGCCCTGGAGAACCAGACCCCATGCTCAGCACCCACACCCAGCTCACAGGCACAATAGCTACCCCTCCTGTCTGCTGCCCCCACTGCTCCAAACAGTACAGCAGCAAGGTATGGGAAGGCTTCTGACGAAATCTGAATCAAAGCTACAACTTAAGGAATCTCTTGAGAGAAGATGGCTTCTTCTCCAGATGTTCTGGTGGCTTTTTCTGACTTGATAGGGAACTAACAGAGGTGTTTTGCTTGTTTAGATGGCTAAGGAGCTGTTTTCCTGAGAACTGGGTCTATAAGCACAGAATGGGAAGAGAACATGATAGACTTTGCCCAGAATTAATGCCACCTGATAGCCTGAGCACTTGACTGGATTCCTTTTTTCCATGGCCTGTTGAGGGTCTCCAGTGTGAACATTCCATGCTCACAGTTTGCGAGCTCAGGCTTCAGAAGTCCTACATAGGAACTTGAGTGATAGTTCTTAAAAAGGGGGGCACTTTTGCTGGGGGGGCTTGTGATTGACTGCTGCAGGTATTGGTGGGGCTAAGGGGTACTTCAAGGTGTTCTGACTTTGCCTGATGGTGTGGGGCCACATGATTCTTCAATTTCTTTACAGCCTCTTCTTTTTTTTCCCTTTCATAGCGTTGTGTCGCTTTAGGAGGGGCAGGCACAGTCAGCATCGCTCTGATTTTTTTTTTTTTTCATGTGGGACTTAAACTGGCAACCTTGCTGTTAAGAGCGCACGCTCTATCCACTGAGCCATCTGCATGGCATCTCAGCTCAAGGTGCCGAGTTCAGTCCCAGCCATGGGTGGACATAGCCCACTTTTTTTTTTTTTTTAATGGATAACATAAAAGATTTTGTAACCCTTTGTATTTGAGAAAGACTGAAAATAACTAATTACAGTAATTATTATTGGTTTTTGTTGTGATTTTTCAGACCAAGATGGTACAACACATTCGAAAGAAGCATCCAGAGTATGCCCAGCTCCCTAGCACTTTACACACACCTCTAACAACAGCTGTGATCAGCACTGCTCCAGCTGTTTTAACTACCGATAGTGCTACTGGAGAGACTGTGGTGGTAAGTGTGGGACTCGTAAGAACATCTCAGCTCCTTCAGTGATCCTCATAGCTTTCAGTGCCAAAGCCATGTCTATCTTGTCATTTAATCAGCTGCAGATGTAGCCCATTATTCTTCAGTATTCCACACAAGGCGTTATGCCAATGAGTGGGTCTCTCCATGCTTTCCAAAGTTTTCTGTGAAATGGGTAGCAAATTTTCAGGGATGCTCGTTTGTGCAAGATTGTCAGAACCTCTAGGGTAACTCTACTGGGCCTGACATAGACAGATAGAATTGGATATGTAGATAATCTTCCAATATCTTCTCAACTTCAGGATTTTTTTTTTTTAATTGGGGAATTGGGAATGGGAACAGCGCTGGAGAATTGGGGAAGGGGAACAGACAAGTTGCTGTCCTTGTGCCCCCCAGTCCAGTCGTGGAGGACGCTGCCTCACTGGCCCAAGTTGGCACCACCACTGCGCTCCTCCTGGGTGAGGCAGATCAGTCGCCGGCCTCTGGACGGCCGCTCACAGCGGCTGCTGGCCGCTCACACTGGCTGCTGGCTACACACGGTAGCCCACGGCAACCCACTGCAGCAGGGGCTGCAGCCCATGCCATCGCCGGCGACCCACGGCAACCCAGCTCCAGGTTGAGCTGCCATTCAGCATCTTAGCTGCAGAGGGCAGTGTCACTGGCCCTCACATGTGGGATCTGAACCAGTGCCCTCTGGCATCCCAAGCCAGCTCCCAACCAATGTGCCACTCAGCCGGCCCAGGATTTTTTTGTATCTGAGCTCAGGGCTAATTTGTAAGGTCCATGATCCACCAGTGAGAAAACTAAATTTTTGTAAGACTTAAGAGCACTGAAATAGTTGCAAGCAGTGGTGTTACCAATTGATGTGTTTTGTGTGACTTTTCTAGACAACAGACTTGCTAACCCAAGCCATGACAGAACTGTCCCAGACCTTAACAACAGATTACCGAACGCCACAAGGGGACTACCAGCGAATTCAGTACATCCCTGTGTCACAGTCCACATCAGGTCTGCAGCAACCTCAGCACATACAGCTTCAAGTGGTGCAAGTGGCTCCGGTACTGTATTGCATTTATTTCTCTTTCCTTTCATGAATGCTGTATTGTCAGCTTGCCAACATGGCAGCCGCGGTCAACAAAAAAGCACCCGATTCTCAGAGCTGGAGGGGGACCCTACATAATATGCTTCTGCTTGTTAATTATGAGTCAAAGGCCTTTGTAAAACTTCCCCTCCACAGGCTGTCATGGGCTCTGGACTTAGCAGACTAAGAGATTTCTGTCTAGAGAAGTCCGGAGATTTTAGGTTCCAACACCTCCTGTGATCCTGTGTTGCAACACAGTGCCAGGGCAAACTATTTCTGAGTCTCTTCTGAACCCTGATCCCTGAGCACCCAGGTGGACTACCTGGGTGAGGAGCCAGTTTGATAAGTCCCTACCTGGGCATTGAATGCTTATATCAGTGGGAGGTTTATTGTGGTTTTTTTTAATGATTTTTATTGGGGAATTGGGGGATGGGAACAGCACTGGGGAATTGGGGAAGGGGAACAGACAAGTTGCTGTCCTTTTGTTCTTCAGTCTAGTTGTAGAGGACGTTGCTTCACTGGCCTAAGTTGGCACCATCATTGTGCTCTTCCCGGGCGAGGCAGATCAGTCGCCAGATTCTGGACGGCCGCTCACGCTGGCTGCTGGCTACACACGGTAGCCCATGGCAACCCACTGCAGCAGGGGATACAGCCTACGCCATCGCCAGCGACTCACAGCAGCCCAGCTCCAGGTTGAGCTGTTGTTCAGCATCTTAGCTGTAGAGGGCAGTGTCACTGGCCCTCATATGTGGGATCCGAACCGGGGCCCTCTGGTGTCCCAAGCCAGCTCTTAACCAACGTACCATTCAGCTGGCCCTATCAGTGGGAGGTTTTAAAGAATAGTTTTGATCCAATCTTTGAATATCAATTGGTACCTTACTAGTATAGATGTATCACAGTGTTCCTTCTACCACATCATTAGTAGCTCCTTCTTACTGATTAGTGAGCTGAAAGAAGGAACCCTCCCAGAACTATTGTTTCATTTAATTATACTGAGAGTGGCCTCCAGGCCCAAATGAACGAACTGTTGCTTTGAAATAATTTGGTCTCTGAAAATGTGAAACTAATACCAGAGCAGGAAATTGGGAGTTGCCACTGTCATAGACTATTCTTTATCTTGTTTTCCTTATAGGATGGTTTTAATTTTAGGTTTTGGAAGAATCTGTGAATCTGTGGAGTTGCCTATAAAATATGATGTATATGTACCTTGTTCTGGAAAAAGAGTCTGTACTTTAGTTAGATTTTCTTTCTTTCTTTTTTTTTTTTAGCTGAGCCGTCCTCCCACCTGTTGGCAGCTCAGCTCAGGCTGGGAATTGAACCGGTAACCCTGTTGCTCAGAGCTTGCACTCAGAGCGAGCTCTTAACCAACTGAGCCACTCAGCTGGCCCTAAGCCAGATTTTCAAAGATGTCTGCAACACATAAAAGGCTAGGAACCACTGTTCTAGTAGTTTAATTGTGACAAAAGCAAAATTTCTTCTTTGATCTCTTTTAACTGATAAAGGATAGGTCATTAAGTTTAATTAAAATATAAGGGAAAAAGATTTTTAACTCCGGAGAGCTTCTCATTCAAGTTATTATTACGAGCTATATTTCTTCTATCTTATTCTTTTCCAGATTTTAATAATATTAGTGGCTTATTTTTTTTATAACCATCACTTTCTTTAATGTTTGCCAGCTTGGCTTAGGTTTGGCCTCTCTGGGAGTGAAGCATTGGATCTGAAGGTCTATCCTATCTTTCTTATTTTCCTGTTGGTATACTGTTTTAGCTGAACTTTTCTCTGAGAGGATTTCCCTTAACCTCAATCAGTATGCATTTGTTTTTCTCCTCCCTCCAGGCCACCTCCCCTCACCAGTCTCAGCAGTCCACTGTGGATGTGGGCCAGCTCCACGACCCCCAGACCTACACCCAGCATGCCATCCAGGTGCAGCACATCCAAGTCACTGAGCCCACCACCTCAGCGCCATCGTCCGCTCAGGTACACGGCTCCATAGACTGTTCACAGAGCTTTACATGGCCTCAGGGATCTTGAAGAGTTAGTAAGAGTGAAGAGACATTATCTTCAGAGCTAACCTCCTTGACTATTGAAATGCCATTGTTATTTTGGACCTTAATCTTTATTTTGGTATTATGGACACACAGTAAGTGATTAGCTTCTCTTCTCCAAATGAAGCCCTGTGATATGATATCCTAGAGACAACATGGTCTTTGCTTCCTATTCTAAATGGCTGGGTGACAGCATGCAATTGCTAAGTTGTTTCTATAATTTTGGAACACTGACTTTGAGGAGTCTATCATTGTGTTTGTAGATCAAATCTGTTATTGAGATAGCATAGCTACATCCATTCCAAACATATTTATTAAGTCTTTATCCTTTGCATGAAACTTTTCCAGATCTTGTCCTCAAGGAGCTAGAGTCTACTAGGAAGATAATACATGTATACAAGTAAATAGATAGGATGGGAAGTGAAGACACTGGTACCATAAAGGAGGCATGTAGGTTCACCCCTGATAATCCCAGGTTCCAGGACAAGAGTATAAACGAAGGCCTGCATGCCATATGTTTGAGCACTTAAAAGTTTTGAATCAAATCAGCAAATCGTTAAATAAAATATGTTCTTTCTACTTGACACATATACTTTTATAATGACAAGATTGAAAAATATATGTAAAGTATTATAACAATTGAATTACTAAATAACATGGATAGTGCTAGTTCAGAATTAACTGTATTTTCTGCCAAACACCTGCCAGGCTGTGGCAGGAAAAAGCTGGGAAAAAAGTCTTTCTCTCTCTTTTAAAGGCTCTGTACCCTTCCAATGGCTGTGAAAGTCCATACTATACACAAACAAATTCTCTACTTTCCTGTTTATAGTGGGGTGTAGGTGGGAGGCCATGTTGCTTGCCACCTGATTGCCCTCCCCTCCTTCTAGTGTGAGGTTCAGTGGCTGTGAGATTTTTATTACTTCTCCCAGTCTAAGATAGGCAGCCTCTATCCACAAGGGGCCCCAAGTTTCTCACCCCTACTAGCATCACACTTTTTAAAAAAATTAATTTTTTTTTACTAGTTTCAGGTGTACAAAATAATGTAATAGTTAGACATTTATACCCCTCACAAAGTGATAACCCCCTCCCCCAAGCTACTACCCCTTCTGACATCATATATAGCTGTTACAATACCACTGACTATCTTCCCTATGTTGTACTCCACTTCCCATGACTATATATACCTATATATTTAGAGTTCACATTCAATATTATTCTATTTCAGCTTCAGGTGTATGGCATATTGGTCATACATCTATCTACACAGTCTATGAAATGATCCCCGTGATAAGCCCAATGCCCATCTGGCACATTACATAATCTTTACAACAATGTTGATTATATTTCCCATACTGTATTTCATATCCCCATGACTATATTGTGTCTACTAATTTGCACGTTCTAATCCCTTCACCTTCTCCTCATCCCCTCCCCCCTGTCATCTAGCAACCAACAGGTTTTTTTTTTCTGTATCTTGAGTCTATTTCTGTTTTGTTTGCTCATTTATTCTGCTCTTTAGATTTCACATATAAGTGAGGTCATATGGTGTTTATCTTTCTCAGTCTGACTTATTTCACTTAGCATAATCTCAAGGTCCATCCATGTTGTTGCAAATGGTAAGATTTCATTCTTTTTTATGGCCGAGTAATACTCCATTGTATAAATGTACCACATCACACTTTTTTTTTTTTAAAGATTTTATCGGGGAATTGGGGGAGGGGAACAGCACTGGGGAATCAGGGAAGGGGAACAGACACGCTGGCTGCCAGCCACTCACGGTAGCTTATGGCAGCCCACTGCAGTTTCACGGCAGCCTACACCATCGCCGGCGACTCATGACAGCACAGCTCCAGGTCGAGCTGTTGTTCCCCATCTTAGCTGTAGAGGGCGCAGTGTCACTGGCCCTCATGTGGGATCCGAACTGGGGCTCTGCCTCTCAGAGCTGGTGTCCCAAGCCAACTCTTCACCAACACGCTACTTGGCAGGCCCCACATCACACTTTTAAGTTTCTCAAAGGAACCTGAGGCTGGAGGGCCAGGAGGGGCTCCCCAGAGTTCCTTGTTGAAGACGACACAGGGATAACCTTCCCCAAGGCTGTATCCCCTTCCTTCCCACGCAGGCTCTATCCTGTACCTCACAGGGCCCTGTGTGCACTCACATGGACACCCTGACCCACATGTCTCAGCTTTGTTCACACTCCTGCAAGTGGCAATCCCATGGCCACCCCTTTGTTCCTAGGTGCCCAAATACCATTAGTGGAGCCCACATCTGGAAGACAGGACCCCTGTAGGAGGACAGACCCAGCGAAGAGAGTGATATAGGCCATTGAAGTGGGTACAGGGCCATTTCCACAGGAAATGGGAGGATGTGGTCCTCAAACTGTGGTCACATATTTCAGGGGGCATGTCCGTCCATTTGGCCTCCTATGAGGAGGGGCACAGCTAGAGAAGTGTCAACCAAGAACCCTGCAAGAGTCCCTCTTGCCTGGGTCTACAAGCGATATGGATCTATATAGATAAGTTGCAGGAATTCAGAAGAGGGAAATATTATGTTTAGCAGAGAATCAAGACATTTTTATAGAAGTTGTATTTGAATTAGGTCTGGAGGGAGGGATATGATTTTGGCAAGGTAGTTGGGGAAGGCATTATGATAAATGTGCTCTCACTGTGAGTAAAGATACAAAGATAGGAAAATTGTGGTGTGTTTATAGAAAACTGTTTCAGCTAGTAACAGGAAATGATGTTGGGCAGAAAAAGTTGGATAAGTAGTTGGGAGCTGGAGTATGGAAGGCTTGAACGGCCGACTGTGAAGCTTGGGGTTTATCCTGTAGACAGGAGTAGCCTCTCCACCAGATGTCCGCATGTATCCCCGTGTTTATCTCCACTCACTGTGGAACTATCCAGTGCATTTCAACGGAAATTATGACGTCAATTTGTGTTGCAAATTAGCTTTGTGATGTAGGCAAGTTATTTAGCATCTCAATTCTTTTAACTTCATTCATTTACCTTTCTAACAAGCCTACTGAAATTAATTTTTTGGATACTCTTAGAAATAATCCTTTGAAAATTAATTAGGATTTCATAGTTATGATTACTTTTCTTTAATGCTATTCATATTTAAAATATTATTTTAGCAGGTATACTTTCAGTATTATAATTCATATTATCCTGATTTATTTTCTTTAGTTATTTGTGAGCCTTAACTATATTGGAAATTCATAATTTTTTACGCTTGCTTTCTCTTTCTGTCTAGGTTGCGGGGCAGCCATTGAGCCCCTCATCCCAGCAGTCTCAGCAGGGGCTCAGCCCCACCCATATACCAGGCAGTTCTTCCGCACAAGGCCAGACTCTCCAGCAGCAGCAGCAGAGTGCTTCTGTACAGCACACGTACCTACCCAATGCTTGGAATTCCTTCCGTGGATATTGTAAGTAAGAAACAAGAGAGTAATGCTGTAAGTCATGGGTAGAGGAACCTGCAGCCATGGGTCATAATGTCATCAGCTTTATAATCGATTTTCTGGATTAAACTGTCATTGGCCATTTTCTTCACTCTGTACTGCATGCACTTGAATGAGTTTCATGAGGGAATTCAAGGCAATGTTCTGATATGAGAGCAACCCATTTCAGAGACATTAGGAATAGTGCTGGAGGGAGTGTAGGCAGGTGGTTTAAATAGTGTAATAGATGGGTATAGGCTATGTTGATGGCATTGATTTATCTCTTCCACCAATATTCACTGAATGTCTGTATATCAATCACTGTGCTAGACCTTGGGTATACAAAAGATTAATATCGACTTTCACATGCCAGGAGTGATTCTAAACCACACATGTATCACATTCAGTATTCATAACAACCTATGAGATAAGTACAATTGTTATTTGTATTTTACAGATAAAGTAATTTTGACACAGAGTAGCTTGTCTGAGGAACATAGCTGGTAAATAGAAGCTTGTAACCCAAGCAGTCTGGCTCTAGGGCTTATACTCTTAACCCTCCGCCCCCCCCTCCACGGGGCTGCCTCTCCTAAGGAGACAGTCTTTAGCTCAAAGAGATCATTAGCTAGAAGCGAGAGAGATATATGAGTAGTAGCTTTCAAAATCCTGAGATTAGAGTTAAAGAAGCAGTAAAAGGCTGGCTTCCAAAGGTCAGAAAAGGTAACAATCTTGGTGGGGACGACAGCGTTGGGTGTGAGCTGGAAAGTATGAGACCTTTATGACTGAAGATGTGGAAGGAATAGAACAGAGCAAACAGACCTCAATAGTATGAACTAGGAGGAATAGGGGCTGAGATGATAGGTGGGAAGGCCAGTGTTGCTCTTTCTCTAGTGTTGATTTCCTTTTTTTGAGTCCATCTCTGTTGTGATTGATCTTTGGCTATATTATGTAGATTTGATATGGAGTCAGGCTCCAACTCTACCATTTAGTTATTTTTACAATCTGTTCTCTTAAATGTTGGTGGGCACGGTGAGAGCTGAGTCTAATTTCTACTCATAGTAGAATACTAGTAAACGGACTGAAATTTGTAGTTTAATTCCTGTGAAAGAAATATGGAATGATGCAGATAGTCATGGTGCTAATAGTATAACTAGCATTCCAACAATTCTATAAACTGAAATTTTTTATTACGGAAAAAATTTACAGTGCGCAAAAATAGAATAATATAATGAATGCCTCTTACCCATTATCCAATTTCAACAGTTATCAACTCATGGCCAATCTTGTCTGCTCTGTACCTCCCCCTGTCATTCTGTCCCAGCCCTTAAACTATGTAATAATTTTTATCATTTCATCCATAAATATTTTAATATGTATCTCTAAAACCAAAGGGATATTTTTTTAAAACACAACTCCAGTACCATTATGACACCTAAAAATAAATGATAGTAATTCTTTAATACTGACAAATACCTAGTAAGTGCTCATATTTCTGTGATTGTCTCATAAATTTTTTTAGTAGTTGATTTGTTCAAATTGGGTTCCAAATAAGGATCAAACATTGCAATGGGTTATATCTTTTGAGTTCCTTTTAATATATTTGTTCTCTCTCTTTTAAGTTGCAATTTATGTGTTGAAGAAACTGGGTTATTTGTCCAATAGAGTTTTCCACATTCTGGGTTTTACAGTTAGCATTCCTATATTATCACTTAAGATGCTTTCTTCTGTCCTTTTTATTTCCTCTAGGTTGGCAATTAGATGTAGAGGCTTCCTCAGAATCAGGTTCACTTTTTCCCTGGAAACTTCATAATTTGGTTGTCTCTTTTTTCTTTGCTTCACTATTTCATTAGGGATTACAAAGTTGTCAGATTCTGACACTATCAGTCTTTATTCAGTAATTAGCTGGAAAACTTCTGTAAAGGAAAAAATTTTACCTCAACAACCAGGTTACTCTGCGGTCCAGTTTGTTCAGGAACGGGCAAGATAAATGCTTTAAGTAGCCAGCCCATCTCCTTTTTTTACCAGTTTTTCAAAATCACGAGTTGTTTTCTGATATTATCCAAGGTGACCAATGAGGCTTATGTGTGTGTATCTTAGTATTGTTATGTACTCATGAATTTCAACACAAATTTGAATTTTTCAGACCATTGTAGTTGTTTATCCTTATTGATGCTCGGATTATCCCATCTTTGGCTAATGGGAGTGTCCTCAAATTGGCTCCTGTATATTTTCTACACAACCCTGTAGTCTTTTATAGCATCTTACATGCTGGTGTGACACCATGATCTAGGCTCATCTTGTACATTTTCTGTCCCAAGTCTGGAACCAGCCGTTTTCCCAAGAAGCTGTGGTCTCCTTTAGTAGAAAATTTAGAGACTATCAACTGGGTGCTAGGGTGAACTTTGTTTTTAATTTTCCTTAATACTGGTGGCAAAATAAAACTCAAGCTAGATTAATTTGTGATTACTAGACAATAGTGGATACATTGTGCCACCAATTCAAATGTGAATATAAAAGATAAAAATATTAAGCTAACAGGTAAGCTTTTGTAACTTATTTCAAGGTTTTAAAAATTGTTGAATATTTGTCTTTTATGGATATTCAGAAGCCACATTTGAGGGAGATGCATTGATTATTTTTGATATTTGGTAACTGTACTAACCTCATGTGATCAATTCTTAACAGAGATGCTTTTACTATATCAAGAAATCACATCATCATAAGACTCTCACAGCAAGCAAATTCATGACAGTGTCTCAGTGGGGAATGTGGTCACTGGCTAGGTATTTGTTTCTACAACTTGTATTAAAATCTGAGACCAATAAACTATGGTTGTTTCCTGTTTTTCAGCATCTGAGATTCAAATGATGACACTTCCCCCAGGTCAGTTTGTGATTACAGACAGTGGTGTGGCAACTCCTGTTACCACTGGCCAAGTGAAGGCAGTTACCCAGGTAAGCTGTGCTGCTTGTGAGGGTTCTCCTGTACCCTACTGCACCTGTCTCCCCTTCCTGCTTTGTATGCCCCAACTTTCAATATCTGAGTTAGAAGTACCTCCTCTGTGTTCCCATAACACCTTGTGGTGCTATATTATAACCCTTATCACAGTGTATTTTATTATTGGTTTACTGTCTTCCTTTTCCCAGTAGATAATGAATTCCTTGAAAGCTAGGTCTTGGTCTTTATCTCTTTATTCTCAATGCCTTGCACAAAAGGCTGGGCTATAGCAAATACTCAATAAAAATCTATCCCGTTAATAACTATAACCTCCTAGATCCATATGCGTATAGATTAATAATTGATCACCTTTTATGTGGGATGTATATGAGACTTTATTACTATTGGTTTTCAATTGGGTTGGGAGAGAATAATATAATGAATCTATTAGGGAGCTCTTTTAAACTATTTTAAACAATTCACCCATCCCAGTGTGAAAACGTTATCATAAATTATCTTGTTATATTTAGGTTAGGCAAGTCCATGTTGATTGTATCTGCTACCTCTGTTTTTATCTTCACTGGTTTATTCTAGCCTGCCTCTAAGTTATTAGAAGATAGAGTATGTAAGTTTAAATTAAGAAAATACTCTTTTTTTTGTAGCTGAGCCATCCTGCTACTTGCTGGCAGCTCAGCAGCAGCTCAGCTCAGGCTGGGAATCGAACCACTGTTGCTCAGAGCTCAAACTCTTGAGCGAGCCCTTAACCAGCTGAGCCACTCGGCCGGCCCAAGAAAAATACTTTTAAGTGAATAGGAATATTAGGATGTCCCCAGGGGAAGACTGTTTCCCAAGAGGACTCAAAGAGTAGCAGTCTAGTGGCCTCAGAAACCTGATTATTTTTTTTTCAAAGTATAGTGAGAGCTCACCCATATTTTCAGCACACAAACTCACATTAACTAGACCTAGGAGATATGTATAAATCCAGAGTAACACTGTTGTCAATGAAAATAGTAACTAATGTAAAATGGGATAGTCTCATTGACATGATCAGTGAAATTTTTGCTCCCTGTAGGACGCATTGACTACCTTTTTTTGGCCAGGAACTCATTTGGGAACCTGATTATAGCCAAGGATGTTCCCCTCCCCCTGCCACAATATACATACGCACAAATTTAATTTTCAGGAGTTCATAGATTCTTGGAAGCACACCTATGGACCACCTAGGGGCTCCATGGACCCTAGGTTGAGAACCATCTGCCTCCTGCTAAAGAAAGGCCCACATGGGAAACCAGATCATAATCAAAGAGTTGCTTGATGAATGTGGACTCAGAATATATGGCCCTAGATCAGGGGTTGGCAAACTTTTGAGATGGAAAAGCCACCAGGGGTCAGCAAACTATGGCTGGTGAAGTGGCTCTGAAGTAAAATTGAAAATGAAAATAAAACTATCATAGTTTCATTTATAAAATTTTTACAGGATATTCACATAATGGTGATTATGTAAAAATATATTTATGGCTCTCAAATAATTTTTAAATTGTTGTGAGGGACAGGATTGGCTCTTCCAGGGGTTAGCAAACTTTTGAGACAGAACGTACCCAAAGAGCCGCATGTGGCTCGTGAGCTGCAGTTTGCTGACCCCTGCCCTAGATAAATCAAATGAATATTTGGCTATGGCTTTTTTTCTGGATAGTGCTTGAAAAGGCCAGCGCCTGAGTTTTCCTCTGTGCCTTTTTTTTGCAGCCTACATAGCTGACCAATCCCCCTTCTACCCAACACATTCTTTCTTTAAAATGTTAGCATAAAGATATAGTTTGCTGCAGGTCTAAGAAGAAATTTTCATGATCAGAGGGAAAATAAAGACAATGTATGTATGTTTTCATAAAGCTAAATTTATTCAATGTAAGGAACTGTATTCTAAGATTGTGTCCTTCCTATGCGTTTGAGTGTTAAAATGTATCTCATTTGACAGTAGCATTTAAAAAAAGATTTTGCTTGGCAAATAAAATTTGGGACCATTTATTATTACTTTTAATTTTGCTGGTCTTAGAAATTCTGAAGTTTGGGAACGTTTGATCTTGACTACCTGTCTTGGGGTTCATTCTGCCTCTTTAATGAGACTTGAAAATATCTCTTCTTTGATCCATTTTATATTAATCTTAAAATTGAATTGAAAGATAGCAATCTTATTTTATGAATTTCTAAATTCTTAGGAGCAGTACAATAGCACATGTTTCATTTGCCATGTAGGTTACCATCATGATGCAAATTTCGGTACCTGAAGTTCTTAACTATATCTTTCAGTTGACCAACTAAGATGCTCCCTTAAATTACCTTGACAGTAAATCACTGTGACTGATCCAGCCTCTCTAAAACACTTAGCTAAGGCATCTCCCATAGGTGCCTATTTTGGTTTCCCCTTGTAACATTTCTTTGCATGTTCCCTCTTTCTGTCCCCAGATCTTCCTGCCCCCATTAGGCCTCAGATTTCTAAAGATCCTTTTCTTCTTGCTTTAGGGTCATTATGTGTTATCAGAAAGTCAGCCGGAATTGGAGGAAAAGCAAGCTTCTCCCCTCTCTGCGGGAGTCCAGGTTCAGCCAACTGCGCACAGTGACTTAGACCCTCAGACCACCAGCCAACAGCAGCCCACACAGTACATCATTACAACTACCACCAATGGGAATGGAAGCAGTGAAGTACATATCACTAAACCATAACTGCCATCCTTGAGCTAGAATCAAGCAATCATGTCATATCTTTTCTCATTCATAAATTGGAAAGCTTCTGTCTGACACTGAGAGCTCTTTTTTAAGATTTACCATTCAGTCAAGAGTTTGGAGGCCACAGCTTTGACACTCATATGTACACTGGGGCTTGTTTTATCAAGGTCATCTTTATGACTCTGAACCATAGGAGTTTCTGCCACGGAATGGAGATCTTTCAGAAGAAAGTAGATTTCAAGATGGAGAAACTTTGCCTTGCTCTTGAGTTGTTTTTTTAACATATTGATAAGCCTAAGCCTTACTTTTCCTTTGTGGAAATATTAAGTGGTGTATTGTGTTTGTACCAAAGGTGGAGAAAGGATGGGCGAAGCCACTGGACTTCATTCCAAACCGTGGCACCAAAGGAGAAGGGGCATTTTATGGCCATGTGTTAGATCAGGACTGCTTCATCTTGTGAGTTCGCAGTAATTTAATAAGTGGAGCCTATTGATTATGAAAATAACAATGATGAAACAAAGGGTTGATAGTGATGGTCTGAAGGAAATTCTGTCATCTAAATTTTTGTTACTGCTGATTTAAAAAAACAAAACAAAACCTTGCCTTTTTTTGGAAGACCACTGTTGGGCTGTTGGTAGTATTTTCCACAGATGCTAGTCCTCACCGGATTTGGCCAGACTCCATGTTTTGATACATCTTACTTTGTTTCTCCACAATGGTGGATTCCCTGTAAGAATAACAGGTTGCTTGATGTCAGCAGAATTTAAACTCCTACATTAAAGCTTTGCCTCCCATTCTCTGGTGTGGTTGTAATAAGAGGGAGATATTGGAGATATCGGTACCAAGTAAAATTACTAAGACAATTATATGTATATATAAAGTAAAAAGCACTGAAACCTTGTCCTGCTTTGCAGGACCCGTTTACCATTCACTGGTAAAGGATGAAGTCCTTGTTCTTACCAGGTGTACATTCAACCCTTGTTCATAGCATTCAGTGTATTATCATAGAACTTTTAATGCTGTCTTAAAATGAACATTCTTTAAGATTGGATGGAAAGATGGCCCTCCTTATTTCTTACCACTTTTAACTTAAACAGGTATCAACTCATCTGGACCTTTTGGTATGATCAACTTCACACTTAGGAGAAAAATAAGAACGTAGGGACCATTTATAGTATGTTAAGGTAATTATAAGGGATCTGGAAGAAATCCAATTTTTATGAATATTACACTGTTAGTAGGGAGAGGAAAAAAAATCTGCCTCAGTGATAGTTTTGCTTAAATGTGTTTCCTTTTGTTAGCTGTGACTTCAACAGGGGAAAACATTTCTCCCCTTTTTATTGTACATTCTAATTGTACACATAAAACATTGCAGAGATCAGTATGTATTTTAACAACTTTTTGTGACATACTAACACATTTTTAGAATAATTATTGCATGGTAGAATTTATCACTCCAGAACAGAAAAACCTACTTCAATTTCAAATGAAGTTAACTAATTTATTTTATTTACATTTCTGGGTTGAAACTGGTTATATAAATTAGAAGTATAGTAGCTTCTTTATGGTAAAGATACTTTTCTAAAAAGTAAACAATTCTATTGAAATAACTTTATTAATATGTAGATTTTGCACTTTATTTTTTGAGACCTTGTTCATTTAGTTATCCCTGAAAATTTGGGCACTAACAGAACTTGAGAAGGTTACTTGGTAAATGTGTAGAAGCTGGAAAGGGACTCTATATCTTTGGTAGCAAAGAGGTAGTGTCAATACTTTTAATAGAAAATATTGACCCTATATCACAAAATAGAGACTTTGGGTCCCAAAATCCCACAATGTAATGATTGTAATATCCTAGGTTTTATCCTAATATCCTAATATCCTAGGGTTCAATGTAGAAAGACTTGCTAGGTGAAGAACACTAGACTTTTCTAAAGGTCCAGTTTGTTTCTATACCTTGAATTTGGCTCTGTTGTATCCTTTTTAATTTGAACCAGCAAGATATCTCCCTTCCCCTCAGGAATAACTTGTTGCTTAAAATAAAAATCTATCACTGAATGGAATGTTCATTTTATGCCAGTTATTTCAAGTTTTAAAATACACAGAAGAAACTGTTGTGGAAGGACCTCTTTGTCTCTTTCCCATCTAAGTTTGTTTTTCCTTTCTTTCTTTCTTCTTCTTTTTTTTAAATGTGGAATAAGTAAAGATTCTAAAGCTAATTTGTATATTATCAACCAGAGATGCAGGTGGCAGTCAAGCCAAACAACACTGCTTTAAGATCAGGTATTCTGCACATTCATCCAAGGTAACAGATTTTCAAAAGGACTTGGATTTGAAGAGATGGCTGATTACAAGCCCTCTGAAGCCCCAATTTGGAAAAAAATGTATGTAGCCAATGTTTATATTGTTTCCTCTCTTCAGACACATTGACACTCTAGACTTCAATCAGTGCAGTGTGAAAATTTTGGAATTACATGTAGAGTTTACATTTTTATTATTTGATTTGCCCACATAATAGACATTTCATCATGTAAAATTCCTGTTACTCTGGAAAAACCTGTTGTTTTGATCTTCTTGAATTGTTTTCTGATTTTGAATTATCCTTTCAAAAAATTCTTAAGATATCTAGGGCTAAAAAGCACTTCATGAGATGCTAAAGCTGACCCATGGGTTGAAAATGTTGGCCCTATCCTGTTATTTAAATGTGAACATTTATTGTACATTCAGTGAGTTATAGTGTTAATAGTCTTGTGCTACTCAGCAGGTGTAAAAATTAATAAATATTTTTTTTAATAAACGTCTTCTTTGTTTATATGTGTGAAGCTACAAGATCCACCGAGATTAACTTTTTTTTTTTTTTTTGCTATTACAACTTAACAGTGTTTTGACTCTTTAATTCACTCTGGTCTGGTCAGAGACTCCAGGTAAGGGAATTTATGGATGACAACTGTGGAATGATGTTTCTTCTCTGCTCTTTCACTTGGTGGTTTTTAATTCGAGAACCTCCCAGCGCTCTAAGAGGAACTAAGGGCAGGTGTGCAGCCAGCAGGGGAGCAGGTATGGGGTATTATTTGGAAAGCACTGTTTTCCAAAAGCAAGGAACATTTTTGGGGCCCTGCAGTTTCTCTGACGTAGTTCCATCCAATTAAGAGATCTGAGGATGATCGCTGCACTACTGCTGGGAGTAGCTTTGGAATCTGAAACCGTACTAGTAAGACCCAGTGAATAAGAAGAAAGGGACCTAGATTCTTAACAAGAGGAACGTTATCCGGTTTAAAATGTATTTCTTCGATGTGTGTACTTTCTTCGGACTCCCAGGTCCCAGGGACGGGAGGGATAAATGAGGGCATAAGCTTGGGTCGGCGTTCTCCTAAATGAAATTCGAGAAACCAACGTTTCCTCAACTGCAAAATGGGAACTAATAGTGCATAGTACAAAAACAAATATATACAACTGTAGTACAAAGACAGTGGATAGAAAGTGCTTTAGAATAGTGTCTGGAGCAGGGTATGCTCTCTGCAAACGTTAATAAAGTAGCATTCAGTCACTCGGGTTCTAGCGCCTCAATTCGCAGCCAGATAAAAACTACCGACAACGTCTCTAAACCCCAAAAGCTTTTAAACCAGGTAAATCCATCAACCCGACTAGAAATTACGTCCTCACACCCCGCGCAAGCTCGCGCCACCCTAGGCCCCGCCCCGTGCCACCCAGGGCCGCCCCGCCCCGGGTACCCTCCTGGCCCCGCCCTGCGCTGCTCTAGACCCCGCCTCGCGAAGTCCCGCCCGGGCACCCTCCAGGCCCCGCCTACCTCAACCCGCCCCTTCCGCCGGCCAAGCCCGGAGCGTGCACGCATAGAGACGCCTCGCGGGAGCGAGCACGTCCGGGATCCCGCGGGTCGAGAAGCGCAGCAGGCTGGGAGTCCCACGCTTTCGGCTTAGGTCAGGGAGGGCCCTGTGCGGCGAAAGGGTTAAATTGTTGCTGGTGAGCGGATGGAAGCAGCGGCTGGCTCTCCGAGGGTCGCTTCTCCTGAGCGCATGGGGCAGAGGAGCGGGCCTGTTGGGAGCTGGGAGGAGACCCAAGTGGGTGGGGGTTAGGGTTAGGCACGGTGTGGGGGAGGGGCCGTGGGCTCAGAGGCGCAGTTTAGAGGGGCGGGACACGGGACTTAGGTTAGGGCAGGGGTGACTAGGGTAGTGTTTGCTGCAGGGGCGACGTATTTGGAGCTGGCAGTTGGTCCGGAAGGAGCCTAAGGTTTTAGCTTCTATTGGGGGGAGAGTCTTAGAGGGAAGGTTAGCCGGGGTGCAGAGGAAAGGCCATTGGGAGAGGCCTTCCTGGTCTAGTAAAGAGGTCCGGACGCCACAGGACTTAGAAATCTTGGCTTCCCGGGTTCCAGCCTTCTGGCAACTGCCTGCTTTTTGTATTTGGATATCCTATTCAGAATAGTAGCAGGGCAAAGGTTGTCACTGGAATAGATTAAATTTAGCTATTGTACACATCCACCGAATTGAAGAAACTTGTGAGCAAGTTGTGAAACAGGTGATCCTCCTAAGAGAACATTGGCTTTGCAGCTATTACCCTGTTTGATGTCATTTCTGTTAAGAGGCCTTTATTCTAAGCATCAGGTTGCTTCCGTCCTGTGGCTGCACCTGTATGCCTGATTCTAGCCATCAGTTTTATGAGATGCTATCTGAAAATGTTTTTTTTTTAAGATTTTATTGGGGAATTGGGGGAGGGGAACAGACAAGTTGCTGCCTTGTTCTTCAGTCTAGTTGTGGAGGATGTTGCTTCACTGGCCCATGTTGGTATTATCATTGTGCTCTTCCCAGGTGAGGCAGATTGGTTGCTGGCCACTGGACGGCTGCTCATGGTGGCTGCCAGCCACTCACACTGGTTGCCAGCCACTCACGGTAGCTTACAGCAGCCCACTGTAGCCCCACTGCAGCCTACACCGTCGCCGGCGACTCACGGCAGCCCAGCTCTAGGTTCAGCTGTTGTTCATCATCTTAGCTGTGGAGGGCGCAGCGTCACTGGCCCTAATGTGGGATCCGAACCAGGGCCCTGCTGCTCAGAGCTGGTGTCCCAAGCCAGCTCTTAACCAAAGCGCCACTTGGCTGGCCCGAAAATGTTTTAATATGTACTTTTATAAAGGTGGCCAGCAGTGTTCAGTTATTATAGGAAGGAGAAAAATAACATTACATTTATATGGTTATAAATATCAGAGGGACCAACTAAAGGTGAGTTGACCACTGCTTTACTGGCTGTCATGGTCAGGTGCTTGGAACCTCCAGAGTTTATTTGGACTTATAAATGGTATTAAGATGTTCCCTTTTCATGGTTTAAATTGAGAATTTATATAGGGGGTGTTGTGTATAGTGTTAAGAACATGGGTTTGCAGCCAGGCAGACCTGAGTTTTGGTCTCGTCTCTGGGGTCTGGCCAGTTACTTGCCTTCTTTGATCCTTGTTTTAATATCTGAGAATAGATATAATAACCCTATTTTGCACAATTGTAAGAATTAAGTGAGATACATGAAAGACCCCACTCTTAATAGGCCCTCATTAAATAACTTATTGTTAGTGTCTGAGCTTTACTAGTCAATGTGGATTTTCAGTGAATTTTCTTTTGTAAATGAACAACTAATTAATTAAGCAATTAATTGTTAAAGAAACTATGTTATCGTAGAGAGATTATTGGCCTGTGCAGCCTAAATTATGGACTCTGCTGATGTGTTTATTAATCTCTGAGTCTCATTTTGCTCATGAGTTGTAAGAAATTCTATAAATTTGGGAATTATTTTAGAAGCATTCTGAGTAATGAGAGATCCACTAGATAAGATTCAGAAGGTCAGATGAGAAGAGAGGGAGAAGAGCTGTTTAGCTGTAGTTAGGGTATAAGAATAAGGTATAAGAAATTTGAAACTGAATATTTTCTGAAGGAGTGTGTGAACAAGATCCTTGGGATTTCTGCCCTTCTATCTCAAGGTATGACTGCATATATTTGTCTAGATTACCTGTGGAACATAAACAATGGATTCCTTGGACCATATGCTGACAGATCCCCTGGAACTGGGTCCATGTGGAGATGGCCATGGCACACGTATTATGGAGGACTGCCTCCTGGGGGGCACCAGGATTAGTTTGCCTGAGGACCTTCTAGAGGATGTAAGTTATAACATTGTCACCATCTTTTCCTCTCTTATCAGCTTCCCCATAGCTGCTATTCCAAACCTTTTTCGTACTCTACAAGTTTTCAGTCTTTTGTGTTCCCTGTTTCATTTTCTATATTGCAGTCAGTATGATCTCTGTTTTTTTTAAGTGTAGAGTCTATTTAATATTCTGATTAAGGAAGAAATTATAAGTTACGTTCTACATATTTAATAACATATCAACATAACTTGATAATGTAAGCCCTATTTTTTAACAAGATAATTTTCAGCAATTATCAGGAAGTTTTATATTTTAAGAGCAGAATTATGTATATGTTGACATTAAAATGGTTATCCATGTTATGAATCATAAACAAAACTCAAACATAATACCTGTGTCCATGAGGTAAGCCTCTAGTAAATTAATAGTACATGCCCTCAGATAGCATGTCAGCATGCTTTTGACCACTTTCACAGTCAGGCTGTGTAATCATCAGTATTATTAAGGTGACTGCCATTTATTATGTATAAGGCACTAGGTATGCTAAAACATCTGTTTATTTATCTTGCTTATTTGGCCATATTTCAAACATATAGACAGGTGTAGAGTATCATAAAGCAAACATTCATCTGTGCATCATCAAGGTTTAGGAAATAATTTCATTTAGTCATATTTAGTTCAGATTTTTTAAACACAGTAGATAAAATTAAAGCCACCACCTTATCTTATTCCCTTTTGGTGGCATATATCTTTCCCATCCATGTTTTCTTAGCACCCTCTTTCAGATAAATCTTATGTCATTCATTTAGTCAGTGAACACTTGTTTTATTAAGTACCTACTTTATGCCAGACACTGAGATTCTAGGATTAAAGTGGTGAGCAAAAATAGGTTTGCAGGAGAAGATGTTGGACACTGAGCCTGAGGTGCTTCGGTACACGCATGCAGAGACACCGTGTAGATGGCTGGATATCTCGATTATCTCCTGCCTAAACCCCTTTGGTGGCTCTCCATTGTCCTTAGGATACAGTCACAAGCACTTAACATGTTTATAGGTCCCTTGCCCCTCTCTCTATTGTCTGCTGCTTACCCTCTCCCTCCCTGTCCTTGTGCTAGCCACACATTGCCTGAACCCTTTGTTCTGTGGATTTTTAACTTTCTTGCCTCAACATCTTTTTTCCATACCGTATCCCTTACTATCTTAAATGTCACTTCCTCTGGTTAGCATTCTCTGAAACCTTAAGTCTGGTATGTGTGTTTCTCCTATCTGCTTATAGATAAACTTCTTAAAGTACACTGTAATGGCTTATTTAATTGTTCCCCCCTCCAGACTATACACACACACACACACACACACACACACACTCTCATATATGCATATATACACACATATATATACATATATAAGTAAAATATGTTCATACTAGTCTGTTTTAATACTTAGCACATAGAAGATAACCAGTATATAATTGTTGAGTTGAAAATGAACTCCATCCTGCTATTTCTTGCAGTTAGCAGGTGACCTCATCTCCTCAGAGTCTCTCCTCCCATGGTAACTTTTTCCTGCCACTCATTTTAAGCTGAACTTGGTGTCTGCCATCATTCTGTGTTGGCAGAAATAATTTCCAAATAGGATTCTCTCTACTGAGAT